AAGGAAAGGAAAGGAAAGGAAAGGAAAGGAAAGGAAAGGAAAGGAAAGGAAAGGAAAGGAAAGGAAAGGAAAGGAAAGGAAAGGAAAGGAAAGGAAAACAATTACACAAACACTTAAGCAATCACCTTTCTGCCCTCTTCCCCTTAAGCCAAACACAGCAGTCGTGACCTCCCTGCTCTCCCTGGGTTACCTCCAGCCTGTCCCATTTCTTGCTTCTCTTACGTCTGAGTGGGACCACCACATGTGGGGTGGTGTTGTGGGGACACTGCATGGGTTTTGGAGCTGCTGTGACACATCACAGCCACCTCCTGCCTGGTCCCCCCTGCAGCTCCTGGCTCCCACACCTATCCTCGCACAGCCGCAGCAAACCCTACAGGTTACACCCAGCACCATCCTTCTGCACAACAAAAATGGGAGCTGCCCCCCATGCAAACGATGGCTGAAGCACAAAGAGACTCAGGAGGTCTGCGTGCTTCTGAGAATATTCAATTGTCCATCTTCCCACCAAACGATAGCAAATGTCTGAAGGGAATCATCTGACAAGTCCTCTTGCTCAACACCGCTCACCCCTAAGCTGCAAGAGAAAAACAAACTCCTTTCATGGCAGGAAATCCTCAGGCCAGTTTGTCAGCAGGATTTAGAAACATTTCAATAACAGAACTACTGACATTAGATTTTGACTGAATGATACAGCCAGAGAAGTGGTAAGCGTGCATTTCTGATGGGTACCAGTCAGGTAATAGAGGTGTCCACCCTATTGATGTTGGGCACATGTGGGTTGTAGTGCTTTCAGGATAAAGATTTTAGGCTCCTCCAATGATTTTAGCTCAAGCATTAGGTCTTCTGAAGTGTTCTACATTAAAACAATGCATTTATGATCTAGGAAAAGGTCCAAATGAAGCCCACAGCCTTGAACATTTTATTTCTAAAATGAGCCACCTGAAGATTCCCTACATCAGCCCCATCACTTTCCAGCATCCAATTCAGTCTTCAAACTGAACTCAAAGATCCAAAAGACTTGTTTTATAAACCCAGCATTTACTTTGGGGTCTCCTTGATGGGATGCTGTGCGTTCCTCCAGCCCCACACCCGACACTCCCTGTCTCCTGGGCAGTTTTCCTGCTGATGCAAGATGTGCTGCAACCTAAGGGGCCAAGAACACTGCTGAGTGTTGTTCAGCTTGTCCCACCCTTACGCACTGGTTCCTATGCAACTAAAAAGTATTTCTTTCCTTTGTAGGGTGTTTTGAGACCTATTGATTAAAACCCCTATGCGTAAGCAAGGTGTCATGCTGTTTAAAATATTATCTTGTGTGGAGAAGAGCTGTTATTAGAGTTTGTTATTAATAGAGCAGGAAGTGGGGATTAAACTTTGCTCTCTAATCATAAATAAAAGCTAGAAGACCTCTGCAGCTTCTGGGTAAACCTAGGAATGAACAGCTGCTCCTAAGGAAAGAGAACCCCAGAAGGAGAAACCCAGATTGATGTCTCACAGGGAGCTGAATGAGAACAAGGTCAGGTTTGGCAGCCTGCCTCCTTTTCACCTTGTGAATACTCTCCAAGGGATCATGCTGGAACACAACTGTTTTGACACAGGGTTTCCTGTTGCAAATGCTCTATGCAGGCTCCACATCAAGCAGCTGGGATTTTTTTTTTTACGTGCCTCAGCCACATTTTCTAGTGGTGTAAATTGCCATAGCACCATGGAGTCCTGCAGAACAACAGAAATCAGGCTGTTGGTTTTTATGAGCTGAGGATCCAATCCAGCCTAAAAATCACCCAAAGCAAAAAAATGTTTCCAAGGCTAGAAAGGCAGTCTCACATCTGCAGCCAAAGCCCAGGTTACCACTGCAACCACAGGGAGAGTTTGCAGAGGTAGTCTTTGTGCCTACTGGTTGTCTCCATTAAACCCCATGGAAGAATTTTTGAGAGTTGGATAAACACTGAAAAAAAGCTCTGAATGTTTAGCATCCCTCTGATTCGCTTTAAACTCCTTGGGCATAGTTTGTATTCCATTTCCAGGAATAGCCTGGTGAGATTTTTCCTCACACAACAGCTCCTGGTGACAGGGATTGATGTTGCTGGGGTATCAATTACCCTGCTGAGCAGCATCGGACTTCGATGTGGCAGTCTGGTGGGGTAGAGGACTCCTTGCATAAAACATTACAATATTACAGCAACAAATAGATTATGTGAGCCACAAGCCAGCAATGTGCCCTCACAGCCCAGAAAGCCAACTGTATCCTGGGCTACATCAACAGAAGCGTGGCCAGCAGGGTGAGGGAGGGGATCCTGCCCCTCTGCTCTGCACTATGAGATTTAGACTGGATATAAGAAAGATATTTTTTTACAATAAAGATAGTGAGGCACTGGTACAGGTTGCCCAGAGAGGTGGTGGTACCCCATCCCTGGAGACACTTAAGGTCAGGCTGGACGAGGCTCTGAGCACCTGATGGAGCTGTAGGTGTCCCTGCTCACTGTAGGGGGTTGGACCAGATGGCCTTAAAAGTCCCTTTCAAATCAAATGATTCTATGATTCGATGCTTCTATGTATAGATCTACCATTACCTTCTAGCACAGTCGAGAAGCCAGCCTGGTACACCCAGACAGCTAGGAATTGCCCTCACAACCACCAGGCCCAGACCTGAATGCAGCATAGCTGTTAGCACAAAGTTACATTCCAACTAACAATCCCTTCTTAGTTGCAAAAATGTTGCCTTGTGCTAGCACAGCCCTGTTGCTTCCAGTTTTAGGGCTGGTCTGTTCAGCATTAACCGAGGATGCGCTGCCCCACTCTATTGTGTGATACGGACATGCCCTCAGAGTTCAGCAGCTGGGTATTTGTTCTGGAAGTGCTTGTGTGCTCACCCACTCGGTGCAGAAACAATGTGATGTGCTTTTTTTTCCTAAGTGGTAATAATTAACAAAGCACAACCCATACAATCACACAGCACTGCTCAACATCATTGGAGAAGCACGCAGCAAAAGAATTACCTCCCCACTGCTTCTGAATAGCACCAAAAAGAAGTAAATAACCTTACCACAAGTATTCAGTGAGCAAAAAGAAAGCCTAAATTCATCAGTAATGTCATCTCCCTGCCTTGAACGTTCAAACAGTGCTTAATAAATGCCTTACGGTATGAACAGCCTTTACAGCTGCTGGGCATTCGGTGTGCTGTGGGTTGGGACGTGGCAGACACGGCCTTCCATAAACATCCCAGCTCAGCAGAGCCCCCTCAGCCCATGGGACATCCTGCTGGGAATCCAGGTCTAGGAGAGAGCGAGCGCATAAAAATAAACAGGACTCTCATCTACTTATTTAACAGGGCACGAAAGCATTTAAGGAGATACTGAGGAAACCAGTCATGGAAAATGTAGGTCACGGTATTTAAATTCAGCTTCATGGTTACATTCCTTCTTCAGTGCATTTCCCGCTCCATGTTGTTTCTAATGACAATGGCAGGGATATATGCACCAAGATCCTTCTTCTCACTATCAGTTTACCTTCCAACGCTCTGCTGAGTCCAGACACACCAATAAATACTTCGTCAGTATCTGTAAAGTAGGGAGCAGGAACTAACATGAGCTATATGGAGATGTTTTGGCCTACATCCATTATATGAGTTTCATGAAGCATAAGGATTAAAACACAGAGAAACATAAAATTTGAACCAACATATCAAAACCACCACATATGTGAAGCAAACATGGAGCAAAAAAGGAGACTTGACACTGCAACACCATGCCTTTAACATCAGCATTTCTGCGTGCATGGTTGCAACAGATCAGTTTGTATCCTGTTTTGCCCTGTTGCATGCTTTGCCTTAGATTCTAGCTTCTCGTACTAATCTCAGTGCTAAGAGAAAAATGAAAAAGTCCCCTGAACATTTCCTCATGCTATACCTGTGTTCCCAGATAACTGATGGTTCATTGGCCCACAGAACCACATTGCCTTCATTACATTTTGACCTGAAAATCCTTAGCAGGTGCATGACAACCTGCAACCAGTTTTTTATAGCTGACAGCAGTCTAAAGCCCCAGAGGTTCAGGAATTTTCTAGGCTGGATGAGCTCTTAAAGGAACCATAACAAGTTACTTCACTTATGCCTGTTAGTATATTATGTCACCAATTGTTACTCTCAGTTGTTTATTTTTGGCTTATTTCTTTTGCATTTTCTCTATGCACTCAATATGTACTCAATGGAGGCAGCCACTGGCAGCTGGGTTTTATATGGTACCTTGTATAATTTTTGAGTGACAGAAAGGCTGTGTGTGGAGGGTTATGCTTTAGACCAGAGTGTAGGGCCACGGTTTTCCACTACTGAGGTGCCAAACTATGCACTTGAGGTGTCACCACTCAGGCATCCAGATACATATCTGGGGCTCCAATGAAGGAGTACGGCTGCTCACCGGTTGTCCATGGATATACATACAATTGATCAAGGTTATATGGACACCAGCACAGAATCTGGAGAAATTCTAGCTGGGGAACCAGGAGCTAAACTGCAGAAAACAATGCGTGGTATCAGGATTTCACTGTAGAGAAGACTGTTTAAAATAGAAACAGTAACAGAATGGACTGAAAAGCATTGCGCAGACCTGTCCAAATACTCAGATTTCTGAAGAATCAAACATGAAACAAATGTTGTTAAATCTTTTCATGACTGACCCTGGCACAAACCATCAGAGCAAGTTTTACTTGCTGGTGATGTGCAGCTGGCTAACACTATCAATGCACAGGAGGATCAGGGTGCCCTACAAAAAGAATGGTGTTCCTCTGGGGAACTGAAATACAGTCAGTTATAGGATGAAGAGCAGCACCTAGGGACTGAGAAGAATTATTTCTCCTCTCACTGCTCAGAAGCAACACAGAAAGGTGTTACTGTAGTAAGTACGAATATCAGTGCGTTGCAGCTCTGAAACAAAAAGTGTGACCTGAGGATGCTAGATAAAATAATTACTGCAAAGGCAGAGAGCATGAGTGTTGCTGTACATGGGCTGCCTGAGACCTTTCCCTGAGCGCTGCTCACAGCTCTGATGGCTCATGTATCTTATAGAACAGGTGCAGGCAGAGGGATTACTGAGCACAGCAAGGCCTGTTGTATGAGAGCAGGCTGAAGCCATGCTTTATCCCAGATCCAAAGATCTGGATGTGTTTTTATGTCCACATTGCATTGCACATTGCATACAGACCTATTGGCTCAGATGTGGTTGGATATTGGTGGCACGGTTGCAGACAGAGTTCCTGTACCCCTGGAGCCTTCCTCGTCTTGTTTGTGCGCTTCCCTCCATTGTGCTGACACAAACATTTCTGTGGTTACCTGGGAACAGAGTCAGAAAATTGATCCATCCTCACAATGACAAAAAGGTTCCTTTTCAAGATCACATCTACAGCCAGCCAAATGCCTCTGGACTTCTTTGAAATTTGAGATTTATTCAACCGATGGTAACTGTAGAATCTTAGGAAAATTGCATTTTCATTGTACAGATGACCTTCATAAAGGTTCATACTTGGGCACGCAGAAAGCACCCCAAAACTGGACAAAAATACTAGCTATGCACCTGTCAGAGTGATAAAGAAAAATTCCTCAGCTGAAGAGCAGCATTTAGCAGGAGCCAGTGCAGAAAGTGACCAAGAATTAGCAGTTGCAGCCCAGAATTAGCAGCTGATTTCTAGCCATGGGAGCAGGGAAGTTCTGGAAGAGCCTTCAAGCAAGGGACAAGAACCTGAACTAGATTTAAGATGAGCTTTGACCCAGAGGAACTGTACAGGACTGTTCTGCAGTAGTTGGGCCTTGTGCCTGAGGAGGTCCCTTCCATTGAGGTGGAACATCCAGAGCCACATGCCAGACAACTTCTCCATTGGTCACAGAATATAGTAAAATGTGTGCATTCTACATTCTACAGGCAAAATTAAAACCTTGGCCATTCCTCTCCATATTTTTGCAATAGAGTACAAATAGCACTACCACAGTTTATCAGCACTTTCCACTACAATACCACAAGACAAAGCAACAATTTGTGGTGCAAGACAGGAGAGAAGAAAGCTTTGTAGTCAGCTAGGACAACAGCTTGGAAGGAGTAAGTCCTAAATTAAGTGCAAAAAGGGCATATCCTAATCTTTCACGTTGAAGACCTGAACAGAATTCACCCCCACACCATTCTTCAGTTATATTGAACTCCTCCACCCAGAGCAGATTGATTCCAATACACAGAAGTGGGGAGTTGGCCATAATGGTTTGAAAGAAATGGTTGTATAATAAGAGTGTATAATAAGAGTATATATAATAACTGAGAATAAGAGTGTATATAATAAGAGTGACTGATCCCAAAAAGAAAACATTTCAACTCAAAATGATAAATGAGGAGCAAAATGTTTTCTTTTGCACTATCCTACAGCTGTAATGTAACGTTGGAATGACAAAGGGGTTTCCTTCAGTGCATGCCTGACCAAGAAGTGTGGACATGGCCACAAGTGCATGCCACCAGAGAACTCCCACTGTCCACAAACCTGCAATGACACCTACTGGTAACCGGTCAAAGATATTCCTGCTTGCAGACAGCATGAGCTTGCTTGCTACCAAACACACAAGTGATTTTCTCTTACATTCTGGCTCTCCCTCATCAAGATTCTCTGCAGTGTTTTTGTACAGCTGAATGCAGAAACCTGGGCTCTGCCTGGCCTGACTTATTTGCAAACCACTCACCATTTCACTCTTCCGTTCTGAGCTGAGCAATCCACTTTGGAGTACCTTGTGTAGGGGACCCGGGACCCTATGACTTTTCATGCCTTAGGCTAAGCCAGCCAGGATTGTACAGTATGGAACATTCTTGGACGACTCCCAGACTTCCACATTAACATTTCTGTCATCCTACAAGATGGGAGTTGCCCTTATTCTGTAGTCCCTGGCACCCAACAGCTAACTGCTCTCTGAAAGCCTGAGAAGGTGACCTGTTCCATCTGCAATACCACCTGGGGTACCACTCATCAGCTGGAGAAAAGAAGCAAGTACCACTTCCAATAAAACAGTCCCACTGCAGACAGCAAGGGAAACCAACGCTATTTAATAGAAGCCTAGTTTTAGAACCTGACACTGAAAAGTTTCAGAGAGATATTTCATTCAAAAACCTTTGCTTCCTCACCTTAAAATGAAGACTTTGATAAAATATATCCACCAAATCTGTGGAGGATTGATCTCACACTAAGCATTTCACAAGCCAGAGGAAGGCAAGAAGTGACCGCGCCATGAAAAGTCTCAATCCTCAGCTCAGAGTTAGCACTGGACTTTCTAATGCTGAAACAACACAGAAAGAAAGGGAGAAGCAGGAAAGGAGAAACTGCATATAGTCTGAAGTCTGGAGAGGTTTTAATGCGTATTCTATCAGTATGATGGAACGCATCAAGATGATTAACCCCTGTAGAGAGCACCATAAATCACAGCAAAAACACAAGCGATGTAATTAGAGTCAGGAATCCCACGTGAGATTTTCTTACTGAATTCCTTGGATTTGTCCCAAGCTTTAAACTGCCTCCTTTGTCTTTTTCTAAGTTATTTCTGGGTGGCACTACAGCCATGCATAAATAGTGAAAGTTCCCTAAATTATTTTTAACAGTTGATTTACATTACTTGCATTAAAGAAAATCTGCTGTGAGAATGCTCTGCATGTGCAAAGAGGTAAAGAGCTGAACATACAGACCGTTGGTGCCCCTGAAAAGTACACAGCCTAGATTAATCTCATTGGCTTTGGATGTCTCCAGAGTAGGCATTCAGACCCGAGGGGCAGTTTTCCAGCAGAACTCCACAGCGAGGAGAAATGAGAAGGGCTCACTCCATCTCATCCGACACAGCTGAAAACATCTACCAGAGCGAGGTGAGTTACACCTTGGAGAAGAACCTATTTTTTCCTTACATAGAAAGATCATAAATATCCATCTTAAGTAATACATATTAATGTGTATAAAAGGTTCTATAAGTAGATTTGGAACAAATACCTACTGTGGCAAATATCTGGCAAATGCATAGTGTGAGGCAGTGAACTCTCCTTCATGTTAGGAGGGAGACCTTCTTGCAACAGTCTTCGCTGTGCATAGCAGGAACTTTCACTGCAGAGACATGAGGAGATGCTTTGTTAATTCTTTAATGAAGGGTTTATGAACTTTGGACTGAGTTTTCAACAGAAATGTAAATCAGAATTTCTTACACAAAACTGGAGTAGTGCTATTTTGTGGTCACAACAACCTATGCATCTTAAGGCTGACCTTTGCCTCTTCAGTACAAGCACAAGGGACACACCCCACTCATAGCAATGTGTGGTTCCAGACACGATACTCACAGACCCTACTGTCTTACACTGGCACAGTGCCGCCAAGCCACCGGTGACTCACGACAGTGCCAGCACCAGTGCTTGAGGAGGGGAACAGCCACACTTTGGACACACCATTTGTCTTTTTCAAATCACCCCACGGCTGCAGATTTCCCTGGAGACTCAAAGTTGGGACCAGACACCGAGGGGCAAACTCTATCCAGCAGAAAGCCATCACGGGGGCACAGCATCATTCAAGTTATTGATTTGAGCATGTGTAGCATTTTACTCATCCAAAACCTTCAAGAGTAAACTAATATGTAGAATGCACAATCATTTCAGGTGACTGCAGGAAAAAGATTAGCTTCTAAACAGAATACTTTATTCATGGCTGTAATAGGCTGAGAGCGAATATGTTAGCTACTTAATTTGGCAAATTCTGGGATTTTCCTTTAATTAGAGCTAAATAGAGACTGTTCTTGAATTTTTTTTCTTTATACCATTCTGTCCCCACTGATATAACCAAACAAGAACTCCGACTCCTATTTCTGCAAACATGTTTTTCCCCCTGTACTTAGAGCTCTCAGCATTCCACAGCACTTTGAGGCCAAAGTCTGTGACTTAAGCAAACCAAAGTTCTGGCAGGAGTCCCTTCTTGCAAATATATTTTTGGCCTGGAACGACAAGGCTTATGTAGCTCCTGATCACTAAAATACCACAGGCTATTATGGAATGAAAAGGAGCCACGAGGCTGAGCCAATGTCCTCCAGATCCCTGCAAATCCCAGAAGCTGATCCAGTGTAAAAGTCCACCCTAAGAAAAGATGGATTGCTTTTTGTCCTCGTGACAGCAATATCATTAAAACTTGTCTAGCCACATAGCACACAGCATCTTCAGGGGTGAACGAATGGCACTACTTGTTATCTCAGCTGCAGGAATTGCCAGAACTCAGACCCTTGTCTTTACAGCAGAGCTGAGTGTGACTGCTCTTTTTCAAGCTAGCAACAAACACTCAAGATACACACCAGGATTTTATTCGCTGTACAGAAAAGCTGGATTAGCAGCTGATGAGCGGTTACAACTTGAGCTCCTGCATCCTCGCTTGAGCTTAAACTCTTCTCTCCAACAGCACAGATGCATGCTTGAAGGGCCAACAAATTGGGATCACAGCCTGAGGTGGGGACGGGACGCGGGTTACTGTTCTAGCCAGATCAGGTACCTGCACATACCACTGCTGTCACTTTAGGGACTACTGGATAAATGTGAACAAAATCAGAATAAGACAGGGAGCTGGCCCTGCCAGGTGGCTGAAAAGATAGGGTTTTTTTCAGTCCAAATATTACTTTAATAGGAAGTGAAAATTCTGAAATGGTTTGCCAGAGGTCAACTAGCTGTGAAGCCAGTGCTCGCACTCAGGGTACAAGAGAGAATGATCCTTCAGACAAGATTCACGAGGACAAATGCATCAAAGTGCCTGGGGAGGGGAAAGTTCAGTTCTTTGGAAAAGAACTGCAGAAAGAGTGCCCCTGGGATCAGCTCCTGAAGCAGGAGCTGGGAATGGCAGACACCTTCCCCGTGTGAGAGGGGCACAGCCAGGAGAAGCTAACAACACAAATTTACACATACTGAAAAGCTGCAAGGGAAATATGCATTTCCCAGTATTTCTCCCCTCAAGCCCCAGACCTGAGTGCTGTCCTTCTGCTTTGCTGTGCACAGATCAGTTCCCCTGGATGCTGCTGGTCCCAAAGATGTGTGGTTTCCAGACCTTCTCAGGGTGCCAGGTTTGACACAGAAAGCACCAACATGGAAAAGCCCATCTTTTGTGCCTCTCATAATCATTTACTTCTCTGTACAGGAAGGCAAAATGTTACATTTCATCAATCCAGTATAGTGGCATTTTTCAGTCTTTTATTGATAATGGAAAGTTTTAGAAAACAGCGAACCAGAGCTGCTGGATGCCAATATACAATTAATCTGTTTTCATTCATTCCTTCAAGTTTTATTAATACAACAGAAGAGAAACAAAGCGCTCAGTGCTGAGCCAAATGCTTCACTCTGTGACGACAGAGACGATAGTTTTTTCTGAAATCCTGATGCTTTAGAGCACACAACAGCAGCCAAATGTCTCCATGGCCATTAGGCCATAAGCCACCCACAAGAAACAAGAACCGCTAAATATAAACAGTCCCAATTCTTTTTATCTGTTAGCAAACAAAACACCATCAGCTTGTTTACACAGAGCAGTACCCAGCTCTGCAATTAATTAAAGCAAAAAATCAACAACCGCTTTGCAACATTTTCCATGCAAATGGTGTGTTACTGAAGCCAGCAGCAAGGTGGAGCAGCTGAGGGGCAACGCGGGGCAGGTTAATGTGTGCGGCTCTTTGATGTACAAAGAGGAGCTGCAATGCATGAGCAGTGCATTCCGGAGAGCCAACCACTTCCTTTTCCCCTGGAAAGCTCTGAGTGTGAATTGGAAAGCGTTAGTCACTGCAGCATGAAGGTGCAGGGCATGGAGAACAATAAAGATCACTTTCAGTGTGTTAACCTTTCTAAATCCATCCGCAAACGTATTAAGAAGTTAGCTCCTTTACCAGTGCTGGGGCTACAGTGGAAAAAACAGCTGCTCCACATGCAGCTGACTGGCAGCAGCCCTGGGCAAGGCACAGTGACTTACTCTGCCCTAAATTGCTGGAGCCAAGGATTGTCTCAATTCCTGTCTCAGAGTGCACCCAGCACTACACTGGTGCTGATCTAACTGAGAATGATGGTTTAAGTACCAGAACACAACTACAAATACCAGGGAAAACCCCATTTGACATCAGGTACATTGTCAGAGGTACATCAGCTTGGGATCAGAGTCTGTTCCTTTGGAGCCTTTCCGAATGTGATGTATTAGGACTCAGATCTTACTGGAGAGATCAGAGCTGCAGGCCTTACATCTGGGTCAAACTGGTGGGACAGAGAAGTTTCCAGGATTTATGGCCATCTTTTTATAATGCCTCAATTCTGTGGATATCCATTCTGTGTTCTGTATGCAGAATCAGACCCAATCTAAGATGATGGCACACAGTTAGGTTTAATGGATCTGCAGTAATTAAGGGTGTTACGCTCTTACTAGGAAAAATGCTTGTTCACCCAATATAAAAAATCCAACATCAAGGAAATCAGTGTTGATGTCCCTTTCCTAAAATAAGGCTGGAGCTCATTATAGGCTCCCATATCCTAAGACTGGTGCTAAGCAAATTTCCGTTTCACACAAGGAGATCATGCAACCTTCCCTTTTCTCTGTTATTTACAGTGGGGAGGCAGAATTCTAGCAGTTGTGCTTTTTGACAACCTTCATATAGTTAGTCAGAAATCTTTGTTTCTGGAATCTTTCTGTGTTGTCATGGAAATTATCACCATGTCCCTGAGACTAGGATAACAATTTTATGACAAATTACAGGAGATAGGGAAGGAGAATATTTTGGCATAAAACAATACTTACAAGGGGAAAAAAAAATCACACAACATTTTTGCACCCTTAAAAGGCATCAAATTAAAGATTTTACTCTCTAATCTCTGCCCACTCTTTACCAGCAGGCAAGAACAAAATCTAGCAGCCTGCAAAACATATTTTTTCTTGAAGGACTCAATATAGAGCAGCCCTTGCAAGCAGAGAAGGTTGGCCAGGTCACCTCAGGCTGCTTCCAACCTTGCATCCCACCAAGATCTAAGAACAGGGCCTACAGAAATATAAAGAGTTTGTTAATATTTCTGACCACCTCAATATCTGAATCCCACAGATTGTGTCTCTTAGAGACACCCTATGCAATTAGCAGGTCTTCAAACCTCTATTAAGTTGATAAGAAAATCATCTGAGTGGTGTAGACAACACAGATTGTTAACAAGGGAGGAAACTCTTACCACACGAGGAGAGAGATATGGAAACTGCTTTTAGCAGAGGAGAGAAAGATGCTTTTCCTTCTGTTGTTTCACAGAGGTGTACAAGGCTTCTGCCAAGCAAAGAAGAAAGGTCCAGAAGCCGGAGACCTATTATTGTGGGTTATATTCTAGGCCATACGTGCAGCCCTAGAGCTAGTGCTCTACAGAGCTAAATGCAAGAGGTTTCATTAGGAGAACATTTTATTAAGGAAGGTCATTCCCCTTCTATGAAGGAAGCATACTCACACGCAATCTCCAAAGAAGGGGGTCTTGATGAGGCATGACAACTTATTGGATAAATGAATCATTTGTGCTGAAAACAGCTTTCAGATGGTCATTTTGAGTTGCCACATCTTAATCTAAAGATGGTTTCTGCTAATCCAAAGTGTGTTTTAAACAAATCAGGACCAGCAAGATAACAAGAAGACTACTTTATGGTAAATGTCTGAGCTGCTTTTAGTCCAATTGTTAGAAAAGCTATGAACAGACTCAATGAATGAGGTCTAGGATACAACAAAGCTCTCATTAATGAATTGAAAATATTTATGGTTGTTTCTCCTAATATCAGTATTCAAAACTGTAACTACTTCAAGAATTTGGTGTTTCAAAATTTGATTCTCCTTACTATTTTTTAATTCGTATTTCTTTCACTTAAAAAGGGAAAGATTTTTCACCTTAAAAAGCATTTGGTAACGTGAGATGGCCCTAAAGCGAAACACAACAAATCCCAGGTGCTTCCAACAGCATCTTCTCAGCGCAGCTCGATGCATTCCAGTAGTAATTTCAACCATTTACCCGCAGAGGGCAGACGCTGACAACAATTTGCGATGGCAGCCATCTCCATAGCCTGCTTTTGGTTCATCGAAGCGTTAAATCTGAGAGGAGTGGGATGTATGTTAAGACCATCGCTTACTAACAGGTAAGCATGATGGAAACTCTCAAAACAGCACTCATTGCAGCAGGTTGAACAGAGGAAAGCTCTCCACAGAGGGACCAACTCGTGAAACAAAACAAATCCCTTATTTTCTTCCTGTTGGATAGTAACTAGTTTTAGTGAAATTACGTATTTCAAAAAACAACAAAAACTCTGTGTCGGAAAACCACACAGAAAAGTGGTTCCACACAGAGCACCCGATCCCTTGCCGTGGTGCCAGATCTGAAGAAGCTGCTCTGTTGGTGTTGGGGAAGCTTTGAAGACCCGAATGGCTGGTTACAGGCCTGCACAGAAGGGCCGGGGAAAGACAAACGAGCCTCAAAGGCACAACACCCCCCAGACCCGATAGCATCCTTCAGCCACATCAAAAGAGCGTAGGTCTGTTTGATATTCACTTTTCCTCCTTGAATTTGGAGACGTGTAAACAGAGCCGGGCCAGCAGCCTTGAGCCACACACAGGTTCCGCAGAGGGAAGTGGGAGGGATTGCTACACAGCTGGCTGGCCTGGCCCTTGTCAAACGGGAAGCCCTGTCTGCCGCCAGCCGCTGCAGATCAAACAGAAGATACAGCCCCTTTGAGAACATCTGAGGGTACACATCTGGGAGCTTCCTGGCCTGGTGCAGGTCCCTGTGCCAGAGCCCCACGCCAGCTGTCAAAAGGTTGCTGCAGTCTCTAGGGGCTGCTCTCCGAATGGCTCTGTGCACACACAGTATGTCCCAGCATTCTGGTTTACGTGGCTGCAGAGAAAATGCTGGAAATGGTAACCATAAAGGATGTAAACACAAGGAGAGAGCAAAAATAACCTCGTGCTTATTTTTAGGTTAGTGAGAATTGTATTAAACACCTCATTGCTAGGTGCCTGACTCACGATACTTAAAAGCTTGAGGATGTCCAAACCTATATTTACTTACCACTAAATCAAAGAGAAACACCAATTTTTGTGAACCTCAAGCTTTGGAACATAAGCCAATCTCTGCTTGCTTTCAAAGCAGGTTGTTTTAGAAAGGCTCCTTTTGGAAACGCCCTGTGCTGACGTTGAGCACTGGCCCCAGCTGTTCCTCCAGCAGTGCATGCCTGCCGAGCAAACCGCGCCCAGCAAAACCTGCCGGGTAATTCCTTCACGGAGAGAAATTGTTCAGCGTACCACTGGCATCCTGCACAGCCCTCAGCTCCTCGTGATAGGTCACCCAGCATTGTGTCCACAATCCTTTTGCCCTCCTGCCCTACCTCTGCTGCACAATGGGATCCCAGCTCCTTCCTTTCTGCTTAGCTCCAGGGTCTCTTTAGCCGTTTCCTGCTATCAAACACTGCATAGTGGGGCTTCTAAATCTCATCAGTGCAGCAAAAAGCAAAGGAGAAAGCACCTTTGGTTGGTGAAGTATTCCCTTCTCCCAGCTGTGGAGGTGCAGGTGGGATTGCTTTTGAGCTTGCAGGCCCATCTCTGAATGCAGGCACCTGCGCAAACAGAGCTCTCCTGCAAAGTAAAGAGAAAGGATGGAGAGATCTAAAGGCTGTGTGTGTGTGGATTCCTTTGGTGCCTTACACTGCAAGCAACCCTGCAGCCCAAGGGCTGTGTCAGTCTGCAGCTGGCTCTGAAAAGCTCACCATGAAAATAACTTGGCTGTGAGCAAGCAGTGGGGAGGAGATGGCCTGTGCACTGCCCTGCGCTCCTATTGTGTCAGTCCTGTCCGAATGGCCTCGCAAGCCTCTTCCACCAAGAGCTGATCTTTTCTCCTCCTCTGCTACTTACTTTTCCCACTTTCATGTTTTGTACTTCAGAGCCAGGCACTCTGCTTGCTAGGGTCAGCAGTGGGTCATGACTTGTGACATGAGGTTAATGCAGTTGTTAAGTAACAGCAAGAGACTTCCAGTGGCATGAATATTCCTCCCCACCATCTCCCAGACGCACACACGCTTGCTGTCTCAGCCTGAGCCCAACACTTGGTTAACATGGGGGTGACCGCGTGATGCACACACAGCACACACTGCGGTCCTACTTACGTCAGCTACCACGTGCTCAATCAAACAAGCTGTTCAGTGGGTAGCACAGAGATGTCTTTAAAAAGTTGGAAGCATGTTGTGGCTGCCTTCTGATAGCTGGAAATGGATGATGGAAAATGACAGCACTGTTGGCACCACACTGTGAGCAGGAACAGAAGCGTGCGGGCTGATCACAATCTCTGAGCTTGCTGCACATCCGCAGTGCCCGTTTGCTTTAAGGAGGGCTGTGTATGCTTAAGAAAAGCTCTGGTGATCCGGATAAGATTTTCAGAGATGTAAAAATCATGGAATTGTATTGTAGGTTTGCAAATGTTTGCAGTCAGAGCACTTTGATGTGAGAGCTGTCTTTTGAGGGGGCGGAGGAAGAGGAAGATGAAAGAAGATTTTAGGAAGTGTCAAGTCAAAGATGCATCACATTTTTTTGAGCCCCTTCAGACAAGCAGTTAACAAATAAGCTATCGGACTGATACCTCAACAGACGTTTGCCATCTCTGTTCTCTGTGCTTGAGATGAACATACTCCACGTAGCCTGTCTTGTCCAACTTAATTGGCAGTGGGATGCTGGACCAGATATTAGCATCATAATGCAGTACAAGGCCTCTGTGTGATAACCACATGCAAGTGTGAAAGAGACAATAGTTAGGGCTGCAGGAGAGAAATCACACCGACTGTCTGCTCTGCTAATGACACAGCTTTGTCTGTGTCTCTGAATTTTGAAAAGGGTCTCAGAGTGGCTGTTTACCTACCTTCCTTAATCTGATGGGAACCTTTTGATCTCAGCTGGATCTGACCACTCAGTTTACAAAGTACAATTAAAGACAGATAACGCCTCTTGAAAACAAATCACTCAAAGACCCTAGAAAAGAAGCCCAAGTAAGTCAGTAACCTCCAACTTTAATGCCTAAGATTTTGAGTCCCGATATCATTCCTGTAAAAAGAAGGGCTGAGCAAGGTATGCTTGAGGTCTGGCTCCAAACACGAAACCAAGCAGCAAGGCAAAGCAAACAAAACAACATAGCTTCCCTCCGAGAGAAAGAAAATCCAAATCTATTGGTTTAACAGACTAGCTGCAATAAATACACAGCTGACTGCAAATTCTTACTGCTGGGTCACATTTGTAAACTGTCAAGTATTTCACAGCTGTATTTTACTATTAGAGCTACTGGGAGAATGTCTCCAGAAAAGTAGATGTCAAAGCATTTTCAAATGCTTTTTATTGCTAGGATTGGGAATACGAGTACAAGCTGCAAAGCTATCATTCAGTATTCATAGCCATTACTAACCAGCAGTAACACAGACATCCAGAACTGAATTTCCCCTTGATGCAGGGCCCTCTGGAGGGTGCTGAACTCCAGAACTGCTGCCTCATAGCATGACACGTGCAAGAAGGGTCCCAGGTGTCAAGGACAGGAAAATAAATCACTTTATGTTGTTTTGCTCTTAGTTCAGTTGTTACCAATTGATAGCAGCAGTGAAGCTCAGAATGAGTCCCAGAGGCCTGGCACCTATCAAGAACTGCCTTACCTTGGGTTCAGATTTCTGCAGGCTTCTGAGATGCACACAGATAATAAAAGCATCAATATTTTCTGTACTGACAAAGTGATGTTTCAGAATCTCTTCTGTATTGCTGGCTTACTCTGTGATAGCTTTATTATTCTAGATGGATCTGACATTCTATGGAAACCAGAGCTAGTGGGTTTTGCTTAACATAATCTTCACTAAAGAAGTCTTAAAAGCAAATGTCATGGTTTTATGTGGGTTTCCATGAACCTACAACATCTGCCCAGTTATAAAGCAGCCCACAGAACATCTGTGAGAGGCCCCAGAGAAGACAGCTGGTTCCTCTAAGCCACAGATGCCTAGACAGCAGGCGAGTTAACACAGCAGGACAATAAGGGGCAGAAGGGAACCTGGGCTTTTCTTTCCTAAAGACACTTAGGAGAGGAAATGGTCAGAACCAGAAGGGTAAACTGCAGCCAGCACAATCCCCATCTCCTTCTCTCCCCTTGCTCTGCAGGGGATTTCTACTTCTTTCTCCCAGTCCTGCTGACTTCTCATTGTTCAGGACTTGCTCTCACAAAAGGGCTCAATCCCAAGGCCTCCCTTCAGCTGAAAATGAGTAAACAGGACCTGCAGCCAACAGCCAAATATTACCCCTGGTCCACAATAAACTTTTTCTTCCCAATCTCTGCATCCTGAAAAGCAGTTCTCCTTTGCTATTTTCTTTCTAGCAGAAAAGGTACAATTATGCTCATCCTATCCCTCTTCTATGGCTAAGTTCTTCCTCAAGACTCTGTTGATCTGTGATCCCTGTAAACCGTCAGTGTAACACGCATGGTATCAAGTCCATCAGTGTTTAAAACGTTGGCTGTTGGAGAAAATATTTATGTCAACTATCTAAACACAAAGCAGGGACAGAAATGACTTACAATGACCTATGTGAAAATAAATAAAATTTAGGCAGAATAGAAAAGATTATTAAACGAAGAAAATGTCTCCAAAGGGACATCTGTTGCTAACATCTCTCCACGTGGAACTGCTTTACTTTGAAAGGCATCTTTTGTAACGTAGTATGATATCATAACCCTAACTATGATATCACTATACTTTTGAACCTACATCATGAAGTACTTTTTTTTTTTTCAGTAGAAGAAATGACAAAATAAAATAGCTTTTCATTGTGCATACTTCAAGTAGAGCTAAAATTCTGTTCTTGAAATAGAATTCCACAATTACTATACGGGGACAAGGCTAAGTGAGCAGTGTACTGCATGCGCATTGTTACGACCAGAAGGAAGAGCAATGGGACAGCCTAATACAACAACATGCCAGCAGAGGGTACTCCTACTTTGAGCATCTCAGTGCGGGTGTGCGCTGTAATGGAGGGCAGTACGGGGAGCCTTCACCAATAAGCCAAGCACTGAAGTGAAGGAAAGAATGCCTGTAGTTGCTTACCAGCTTCCTGTCACTGAAGGCCTTCACTGGGAGAGCTGTGAGTAATGTAGCAAGAAAGAGAACACAAATCAAACTTTGAAAATGTTGCTAAGGTCACAGATTTACAGCTGCTTCCCAAATAAATAAATACATTGCTCTTTAATTCTCAGTCTTCTAGGCTAAGCAGGCCAAAGCAGCTATCTGATGAAACTATCACAAACACATTTGCTATACCTGTGTGCCTAAAATGTTGCAACTAAGGGAACACAATTCCAAGCGTTAGTAATATTAGCAGCCTGTATGTGCTCATAACAATAAATGTTTTCTCTGCATGGATTGGGAAACAATAAGAACAAAAGCAAAATTTACCTGCAGCTTCTTGTATGCCTCTATTGAAAAAAACCAAACATGATATGATATGTTTAATAATATCAAATTGTTGAATGCAGACTTACCTTTTAGCTGGTTTTGAACCCTGCACACCAAATTAATTGCCACTGTACCACCACTACTACAACTTTGAGCCGTATCAGAGACAAACACAGCACGTCTGCCTTTGGCTCACAGTCATATCTGGCAAACTCTTCAAAAAATTCCACACATGAGCTTTCCTCTCCCAGCAGAAGTGAAATGATTCAGAAGGCCTTCCTTTTTTTCTTTCTTTTTTTTGGTAGAAAACAAGGTGACTTCCAGGCAAATTCTCATGATTATCAAAAAGATAAAGAAATGCACAAGTTGATGTACGTCAGAACAGCAGCAGACCTTTGGGTTCCATGTAACCCTCCATCACAGATGTTCTTTGTAGTGCTATAGCAACTGAACTCCTGTGTGTCTTGGTTTCTAAATCAGTAAGTGAACTGTAACCTGGGCGACTGCCAGGAAGCAGATCTGCAAATTAATACCTGCAAACGGCTTTTTGATGAGCAGGTAAAAAGAAATGAAGAAGGATCAAGTATTATGAGCAAAGAAGGAAAAGTTGCTAGAGAAATTATCAGCAGAAGGAAACTTTTATGGAAGATAAGGAATGTAGCTTGAGAAATCAAAAGCTTCAGAGCTGAAAATGTTATTTCTGACTCTTCATTTTTTAAGATGTATTGTAGTCCCACAGTTGAAGAAATTTTTCCTAACTAAACCCTGGTACACAGATAAATAATTTGAATATCCTTTCTCAGGAAGGGATGCAGCATGTGTGGTTTTGTTTTCTAGACTACAGAATCATGACTTTGACCATTAAACCTACTGAAAAAAAAAAACCATAAGAGGGATAGAACAAGAAATAAGGGCTGATTTCTGGTCTTTATAGTACAATAGATTTAATATCAACTCCCTTCACACCAGAAAACACACTAGGATATACACCACACAATATTCCCAGAGCAGCTTTTTGTTAAATATGTCTTCTCTGAGAAAGACCAACACTGTGACTACTGCATTTATTATGAATTCAAAGCAAGACTTCCAACACAACGCTACAATAGACCACGGCCAAAAGAGCAGTTTTAATCTGGATGCAATATATGTACTTCAATAAATACATGATGGATTCGTGTTCAGTTTTACCTGCCAGCTCTTGAGGTTTCATTAAAACAATTATTGAAGGTATTTTAATACCTTTAATACCCTGGGTAACCTGTTCTAGTGCCTGATTTAGTTGGCAACCCTGCCCACAGCAGAGGGTTGGAACCAGATGATCTTTAAGGTCCTTTCCAACACAATCTATTCTGTGATTCTGTGATTTTCTGGGTACAGGCAGCAAGAACAGCCTGGTAAAAGATCCAGGTTGTGAAATAATTATCTTAAAAATTAAACCATTCCTAGGAAAGATTTATGCTATTTTCTCAGCTTATTTTCATCATAATACTTTTAGGCAAACTCTACAAATAGTAATCTAAATTGATCTACAAGTACAAGGATTACAGGAAGCTCTATAGTCAGGGGTGCAGTAATCTTTCTAAGCCAGCATCCTGGATGCAACCCCTGAATTTGTGTGTGCTGACCACACTCTTCCCTTCTCACACTGACTCTTGTGGCCTTGCAAGGAACAGAAGAAAACATTTAAAGTTGCAGGTCCCTTGGGAGAGCCTGTAGAGTTCCTAACTTTCAGCTAAAAAAATGTAACCTCAGTATTTGGATATGGAATAACTTGGTCTAGGAATGAGGGAAAAAACTCACAACCAGATGCCACGGCAGCATTTTCAGTAAAGTTCTTGGTATAATTGTGCTCTAAGTAGTTATGTTGCTTATTTCTCTGATCTCTTTCTAAGTGCTGTGGAAAAAAGATTTTTTGTGGATTATCTTGTTAATAGATAATCCTATTTAGTGGGTATCTTTGCTGCAGGGCAGTCTTGGCTTCCCACCCATTCAGTTAGGAATGTTTATACTTAGCTGCTTTTCTAGAAATGGAGCTACAGCTGTAGCACATACCAATTACTTTGTTTTTCCCCAGGACACATCTTTTTCTTGATATAGATGGAACAATCTCACTAGAAATATGTCACACTGCTGGAACAGCTTTGAAGAACAAGTATGTTTAACTAGCATGCATCCAGATCTGTGTTAGATCTTGATGAGACTTGCAGCCATCCCACATTTTTCCTTTCAAGCCATTCAGGTGCGTATTGTTGGTATTAAAAATTGATTGTTGTAAATATCAAAGGTGTTCTGGAGCAATTTTGGTAACTGAAAGCTCCAGGGAGAAAAATATTTTGCATTTCTAACATCCTGATATTAAGGTGCTTCTTCATTCTCCTGTTGGATGGTGTTATATTCTATCAGACAGACACCGAGTCTCATATTCCATTCCAGAAACAGGTGCAAATCAGGCAAAAACAGAGCAATCATTATGGAGATCTCTCCAACACAAATCTTCAATTGCTTTGGCATTTGTTGTCCTTGCAGCAGCCTGAACT